AGGCCTAATAAAAAAAAAAAAAAAGAAGAAGAAAAAGAAAAAAAAAGTAATCTGCCCGGTAACAATCAGCGCGCAGTAGCAGGAGCCCCAGAGCTATTGGCTATGCAAATAGAGGGAGGGGAGACGGCGCCCCAAACTCATACTCACCCTTTTAAAGAGATATTCCCCCCTTCCCCACCCCTTCCGCCCCACCCTTGTTTAAAGGGGCTGGCTCCGGGGCCTGAGTTAATCGCTTGCACCTCTGGTTTATTCAAGTCCCCGCCTCCGCCTTTCAGGGGACCCAGTGAACAGTTCACCCAGGCCAACCTACGCTGCCCCCCAGCCCCGCTGTTCTCCCGGCCCCTCTCGGGGGCCCCCCCTTCCTGGGGAACGAGGTACTCGGCGGGCCTCGGTGTGCCCAGAGAGCCCGGCCCACGCCATGCTCGCTGCACGTGCCAGCGCCACCAACTTGCCCGGGCGCTGGGTGCTCGCCCCCTCCTCGAGAGAAATACACGGAAAGGCAGGGAGGAGGGTGGCGGGAGGAAGGAGGTAGGAAGCGCCACCATATCCCCTGTAAGAGCGGCCTTGACCGGGGATGCGTTTGAGCACATGGCAGGGCCAAGTGCGTCCAGATTGGCTGCGCCTGCACCGCAGTTCCGCTCCGGGGGAGAAAGCCCCGCTGGCGAGTAAGGCGCGAGCCGCGCAGGGTCGGCCAGGATGCGAGCGAAGGACCCGGGGTGGAAGAAACCTCGGGCCTCCGGCGAAAGGAAGGGGTGGTGTTGTTCGCGCAGGGGGAGCGAGGGGGAGCCAAACCTCATCCTTCGCTGGCCCCCTCCCCTCCCCCTCCCGGGCTATTTCCTAGAAAGCTGTATCGGTGCGGCCACGCTCGGCGCAGACACCTCGGGCGGCTTGTCAGCAGATGCAGGGGCGAGGAAGCGGGTTTTTCCTGCGTGGCCGCCGGCCGCGGAGGAACCGCTGGTAGCCCTGCCCCCGGCCTGCGGCCGCCCTGGGCTCTCCGCCGCGGCGCCCCCAAAAGCAGTTTCTGCTCAAGGGTCCCCCATTCTGTCAAGCAGAGGCACCCTCGGAGCGCCCACCCCTTCCTCTCCGTACACGTGCAGGGCGCTGGGGTCCCTTTAATCGGCTTCGGAAACAGCTTCGAAGTTATCAGGAACATAAAGTTCAGGGACACTACCTTGACCCCCGGGTATGCGAGGGTGCTGTTCTCTAAGCCAGCCCTTCCCCTGCCCGGAAGGGCGCTTTCTGAATTGTCCGAGCTCATCCCGACTTCAAGTCACCCCCCCCCCCCCCCCATTCCTGGATCTGGGCTACACTGCTGGCTATTATTATAGAGTCCGTTTTCAAGAAGCCAGCGTTGGAGGGTAGTATTTTGGCATCCTACACCTACGGAGTGTGCGAAATTGGAGGGCATAGATGGGAATTGGTGGTTTTTGGTGGGTTCCCCCATCGGGGCCCCTGGCATGCGGGGCTGGATGGAGGGAGCGGGCCTCGGAAAGCCAGGGAGAGGGCTAGGGGGCGGGGGACCGCGTTTGAAGTTAGGTCGGGCCAGCTGCTGTTCTCCTTAATAACAAGAGGGAAAGGAGGGAGGGAGGGAGAGGACTGAAAGGAGGGAGGGAAGGGGAGGGAGAGGAGGGAAGGGGAGGAGGAACCGGAGAGGGGAGCGCGCTAGAGGGAGGAGAACTAACTGCCCAGCCAGCTTGCGTCACTGCCACAGAGCAGTGAAGAGCGAGCTGGGGAGAGCGAGACCAGTTTGAAGGGGAGGACTGGTGCGAGTTAGGCAGCCCTCAGGCTCTGCTCGCCCACTCCACCCCTTCCCTCTCTCCTCCGCCACCTTCACTCTTGGCCCTCACCTTTCTGCCCCAAATCCTCTCTCTAGCCAAAGGAAGGAGGTAAGGGGAACCGTCTCCCCTCCCCCTCCAAAAAAAAGGAAAAAACTTTTCCAGTGCGAAGGAGGCAGGGGAGCGAGCGCTCGCCGGCTGGCTATGGAGCTGCTGTGCTGCGAGGTGGACCCGGTGCGCCGGGCCGTGCCGGACCGCAACCTGCTGCAGGACGACCGCGTCCTGCAGAACCTGCTCAGCATCGAGGAGCGCTACCTTCCGCAGTGCTCGTACTTCAAGTGCGTGCAGAAGGACCTCCAGCCCTACATGCGCAGGATGGTGGCCACTTGGATGTTAGAGGTAGGTCTGCAGGCGCCCCTCACCAGGAGCCGCCACCCCACCCGGGTCCTCAGCCCCCCACGTGGGGAGCCTAAGCGAGAGATGGCAACCCCTGCGCTGGCCTCCCGACTCCCGGGCGCGAGGTTACCCCGCGGCCCTGGGCGGGTGGGACGCGTGGCTCCGTTTCGGTTCCAGGCCAGGTTAACTGGGGGGTGGGGGTGGGGGGGCGATCTGGGAGAAACGAGGCTGTCCCAGGGCGGAGGTGGGGGAGCATCCGCGCGCGTGTGCCTGCTCGTGGCTTCCTCCGCTTCCCACCCCCATCCCGACCTGTCGTTTGCGAAGCGGTCGCGGCTTTCGGAGCCGGGAGGAAGAGAGTAGGAGCGTGAAATCGGGGTCCATAGTAACAAGCAGCCCCCCAAAAGGCCGGGGCAAACCCGTCCTAGCCTTAGGTCCCCGCATGTGGTCGCGACTCCGCGTTGGCACTGGGGGGGGGGAGGGGGAGGACGAGAGAAACGGGGAATTCAGGAGCCCCGGAAGTCCCAATGAAGCAGCGTGTGTTCTAGGGGAGCCCCAAAGAACCACGTCTTTGCCCTTGCTCCAGATCCGTGCGGAGCGAGCCGTGTGCCCACGTACGCACAGCTCTGGACCTGCCGTGGTTTCGCCATGTTGCTTTGCAAACTGGGGTTGGAGAGACTGGAAGACGCCGCTCGCTCCCCCACGCGCCCCATCCTCCCGGTCACCCCACTCCTCTTCGTGCCCTCTCCCCAACTCCCCTCTCGCGGAGGGTACTTACAGTTTTGCTTTCCAGCTTCCTCGGTGCGGAGGTTTGGGTGGGGTAGGAAAGGGGGGAGGAGGTGTGTGTAGGGGAAAGTCGGGGCTCCAGCGAAGGAGAGGTCATAGCCCCCCGTGCCCCTTTCGGGCTCCCTGTCCCCGTCCGTGCCCCAGCTCGTCCCCACGTTCCCCAGTTTCTGCCCTCGCGGGCCGCTGCCGGACACTTGCGGCGGCTCTCACCCCTTTAAGTCCCCCCGGGATCCAAAGCCCCAGGGGTCGAAATACAGACCTTCCTGGCACCTGAAACCTCCGTTTCGGGAAGCCTGGATCCTCTTTGGGGTTTTCACGCCAAAAAGGCTTTTCTAGGATATTTCCTCGATTTTTAATTATTTTTTGAAACCGTCCCCCCTGCTCCGCCTCCAGCTGCCGAGGCAGCGCAGGGACCCCCCCAGACAATTTTTTCAATTGTCGGGAATGATAGAGCAGAGTCTGGGGGTCCGAATGGGACCAAGAAGTAGACCCCCAGAGCCTCTAGAATATTTTTATTGATTTTTTGAAAAGATGACGAAATCCAAAAAAGAGAGTGAGTGAGTTAGAGTGCCCGAAGGAGTGAGTAACCGAAGGAGCGGGGCTGGGGCGGCCGGCGCGCAGGGCTGGGAGTCCCCGTTCCGGATCTTTAATTCACCCCTATTTTTATGCTCCCAGGGAACACCCAAGCACGGATGGGCTCTTCAAATGTCCCCCCCATTTTCTCATCTTTATTCTTATCACTCGGTCTCCTCCCCTCCCCCCACAAAAATATTAATTATTTTCTTGTTCCCACAGCGTGTGCTGCTTCATTCTTTTTTACCTTTTCTGATACATTTTCCGTCTCTCCCACCCTCTGGACTGCCGCTGTAGGTGTGTGAGGAACAGAAGTGTGAGGAGGAGGTCTTCCCTTTGGCCATGAATTACCTGGACCGCTTCCTGGCTGGAGTCCCAACTCCGAAGTCCCATCTGCAGCTCCTGGGCGCTGTCTGCATGTTCCTGGCCTCCAAGCTGAAAGAGACCATCCCGCTGACTGCAGAGAAGTTGTGCATTTACACCGACAACTCCATCAAGCCTCAGGAGCTGCTGGTAAAGCCTGTCCCCTCCCTCTCTGCTCTTCTGTCCTGGCTCCCTCTAGCCTAGGACTATGCCTCTCCCCAGCACTCTACTAGCAGATTCCTGGGATCTAAAATTACCCTACACACACACACACACACACACACACATTCACACACTCAGTTTTTCTCCCTTGTGGACAGTCGCTCTCTGAGCAGGAGACACTGCCTTTGTGTGTATTCCTACTATGCGCCAAGCGCTGAACTGAGCACTGAGGCTACATGTGTGAATAAGACCCTCGTGGAGATTAGCGTTGGTGCGTTTCATTTGCAGTGTGTGTGTGTTTGTGGGGGGAAGCATGGGATATTTTAATTAACAGTGATAATATTTTAATTAAATTTCCAGTGTTCAAACATGAGAAAACCATCAGTTTTCGTATTATAGGAATGTGTTCACATGATAGAAGTGTGTAGGGTGTGCCCCTCAACCTGGAGTTCGGAAGGCAGTGTCCTGTGTATAAAGTCTCATGGTGTATAAAGCTACCTATGCATAGTAGCTGTTCATGAAATAGCAACTCCTTGACTTTGAGCAAAGTTAAAATTTGTCCTTTTCTTGGAGGAGTCTGAGGCCTGGGTTCCTAGCTCCAGAGGGACTGTGACCTCTGTACAACCCCAGGGGTCATGCCTTGCCTCTGCTTGGCTGCCAGTCACCCTGTTTCCCACCCTGGCTAACTTGCCCTGCAGCTTTGCACATGAGTTGGCTATAGTGCAGCAGCACTGGGATGGCAGAGCAGCTCTCAGCGCCCCCCCCCAGAGGTTTGCACACCTTTCCTGCACTGTTTGGAGAAGGAGCACCCCCATCTCACCCCTCCCCCTCAGTTCTTGCACAAAGTCTCTGGGCTGAGACTGGCTTCTTGAACTGAGCTCTTTGTAAGGAACTTTCCTTTCTGGAGCTGTGCTGCCATCTAGTGGCAGACATGCGCAAGGTTGGGGGAGGAATTGCAGAGAATGTAGCGAGGGGCAGGAATGACTTCACCTTTGAACTGCTGCCAGATTTCAGCTGCTTCTGGTTTGGTCCGAGAGGCCCAGAAAGGTGCTTTCTTCTGGGAGATCTGCTTCCTTTAATAATGGTGCAAGAGGAGCGATGTGCACTCACATTTCCTAGTGAGAAAGGAGGTCTGGAATTTCAAGCCATCTTTGGAAATATGGGTCACTCCACAATGTTAGGGTTTTTAACCTCCAGCCGCCATGAAAAGCCAAAGCAGATTTTAGCAGTCACAGAGGGGGAAAAAAAACTGTTAGCATTGGAGACCAGCTTGTTTTTCTCACAGGAGAGTAGAAAACAATCTTCCGTGTGGCTTGTTTCTTTCTCCGAAGACAGAAGGATTCTTCACAACACCCACTTTCTCCAGGACTAATTCACCATGCTCCAAGCATGCCTGTCTTTTTTCATTTCCTCTCTTAATTCCAGATGTTGAGATCTGGAAGAATTCTCCCATTTTACACACGCAAAAGCTGAGGCCCAGGGAAGGCAAGGCATGCTCCTGGCCACACAGCCAGTTAGTGTGGTTTGAGGCCTGAGCTCTGGGTACTGACCGAGCGTCTGACCCTCACCTCGGTAAGCGAAGTGAGTCCCGGTGCTCAGGGTGAATGGGACGCTGGCGAGCCGGCGTCTGCTTTGTTCTGAAGACGCCTGATTGATGGGCACGTTTTTTTCTCTGATTGCACGTATTTTCAAGTTTTAGTTTTAGCCTCTTTCC